TCCGAATAATAAAAATGTAATTTCAGTTTTTATCCGAGTAAGTAAATCTTCAGTTGAAATAAAATTTTGAAATAAAATAAAATTCAAGTTCGGTCAATGATGATGATGATTGAAATGGTAAAAAAGAAAATTTTGAAGGGAAATTGTCCGAAATAATTTCTTTTTTCTTGTTGTTCAGTCGGAAAAATGATTAATTTCCATAAAGTTCCATGATACAATTTCGATGATGATGATCATCAACAACAATCTTTTTTCAATCAATTTTTTTGCTTCAAATCACACCGAACAAGAAAACGATGAGAGAGGGAGAGAGAGATTGAAAAGTTGAATCGATTTTCAAAAGTAAACAAAATTGGTTCGGTTAAATTATTTACTTTACTTAACATTACTTTTTTTTCTGGAAAATTGTTTTGCTTTGCGTAGAAGGCCAAAGTTATTTTTTTTCAAAATCAACTTTGAAAATTGTTTTTGAAAAATCAAAAATCAAAAAATTATTTTCACAACTAAACTTCCGGATTTGTTTACTTTTTTTTCGGATTTTTTTTGATTTTTGATTTTTGATTTGCAATTTGCAATCATCATCATCCTTCATTGCGTTTTTCGTTTTTCCAAGAAACATTTTCCATTCAGGATCAATATTGATGGGGAAAGAAAAACATCAGTTTGAAGTGTGAAAAAACAACCATAATTAACCATTTACCACCACACTGCTGTATAGTCGGAGTTTGTTTTGTTTTTCCCGTTTATTAACTAATTAATTTTTTTTCCATTTGATGATGACATTCGAAAATGATGAACGAATGATGTGATGTGAAGTAAATTTTTGGCCACCAAAAAACTGATGCGTCTAACTTAATGAACTAGCAAAATGTTTGATGTTGATGATGGAAATTTTGAAAATTTTAAATTCAAATTTGTTTTTTCGAAAAATCCGGGGGCAGATCATAAAATCAGTTCAAATGACAACAACAACAACAAAAATCCAAAAGAAAAAATGATGATTATACGGTCGATGAAATGAAATTGAACAATAAAAATGAAAATTCACATAGCAAGATTACCAGCAAGATTTCTAGAATGAAAGTTTTTTGTTCGAAATCAGAAATCAGATCTAGATCAAGATAAAGATTTTTTTTTGTAAAAAAAAATCTAATTCTGGATTCACTAAACAAAAATCACACGATTTTCAATTTTGTATCAAAAAAAATTTCCAGAGATATCATCAATGATGGTGGTGGTTAGTTTGTATTTTACCCGAAAACAACAACAACATTAAACAATTATTGTCTTTGTTGTTGTTGTTGTTGTTGTTGTTATTATTGAATAAACAACAACAACAACAACAACAACAAAAAGATAAAATCTAGATTTGAAAATAAAAAAAACTGAAAATAAAAAAAGCCGGATGCTGAAATGATGATGATTATGAAAATTGATAAAGGTGGTCATCATCATCATCATCGTGGATGGATAATCATCATCATTATTATTTGTCCAAATCCAAACTGAACAAAATGAATTCAGAAAAAAAATGTTTGTTGAAAAGAAAAACATATATTTGGTGATTTCACACCACCATCATCACCAAGAAATAATAATAAAAAATTCAAAAATTCAAAAATTTTGAAAAGTTATCATTTTTGTTTTTCTGCTTTTTTCAATTCTTTTTTTCTCTAAATCCCATCCAATGTTTCAAAGGGTTAAATTCAATCAACAAATGTACATATATCCGGGGCAATAAAAAAAAGATTATCATCATCATTTATGAATCAAAAACAACAAAAGTTAGAACAGAAAATTATTATTAATAAAAAATTTATCCGTGAAAAAATAACAGATGTTGTTGTTGTTGATGATGTTGATCCACTTCAAATTCAAATCCGAATTCAAATCCAATCGGATTCGATTATTTTTTCCTTGTTGAATCGATCCGGATATTCATCATCATCATCATCATCATCATAATCATCTTGATTTTTTGATGAATGATTGAATATTACTGGATGAACGAACGAAGAAAAGCTATTACAAGAGAAACATTCAATAATGATTGAATGAACTACAATGATGATGATGATGATGATGAATTGGATTGAGATTGAATTGAGATGGATGAGATTGATTTATTGATTGATGGATCGATCGTTCGATCGATTGATCGATCGAAACAACAACTTGTTCAACAATTTTTCAATCATTATCATTATCAATTTTTTTTCCTCTGCTGTTGTTTTCTGTTGAATCAATTGAATATCATATTCAATTCATCCGATGAACTTCTTCTTCTTCTTCAGTATTTTCATGGTTTTAAGATTTTCCGGAATTTTTCCGAAAAGAAAATTCATCGATATCTCTTCGATTAATTAATTAAGCATCCAAAATCGATATTTGAATCATTTTTTTCGGATGTTTTTTTGCTACAAAGTATCAATTTTTTTTTTGTTGTGAAATTGTATCCGAGATGAACGTTTGTTTGTTTGAATGTGTGTGTGTGTGTGTGTGTGGTATGAGATAAACATGATTATTATTATGATGATGATGATGACATGAGAAAAACGAATAGAAAACCTGAACATTTGTTTTGGTAGTGGATTTGAAAAAAGGAAATTTTCCGGAAATTTCATTTCATTTCATTTGTTGTTGTTGTCTGAATACATGATTATTATTTTGATTTTCATATATTTTTCAAATGTAGAATAATTGAAAATTGTTGTTGTAGTTCGGTTGTTGTTCGGTTATTGTTGATGTTTTTAAATGAAAATGAAAATGAAATGTAAAACCACACAACCATCAATAACAACAACAACAACAGCAACCGAACAACAACAACAGAAACCAAAACGAAATTCTCATCATGAGAAAAAAAAATGATGTAATGAAAATGCAGTAAATAAAAAAAATTGGGTGGACAAATATGGACATCACCAATTTGAATGTTTTGGATTTTTTTTAAAGGATTTTTTTTCCCCTTCGAAAATGAAATCAAAAAATCCATCATGATAATCATAATAATTATTAATTATAAATTGAAATGTGAATCTTTTTTTTTTGATCTACTGAATTTCTACTTCTTTCATTCATTCATTCAATTGAAATTTGACCACACACACACACACATATGACGGATCGATCAATTATTTTCGTTTTTCAGTGCATCATCACACTGTCTGTGAATTTTTCGACAAAAAAAAAAAATGAAAATCGTGTTGCTGTTCGATTGATTGATTGATTATAATGGGAATTTTCGTAACTTTTTTCTTTTTTGTAAAAAGAAAAAATCAATAATAACCGACATCAAAAGACATCACACCGATTGTAACAACAGCAACAGCAAAACAAAAAAAAAATCGACACACCCGGGTATTAATATTTAAATTATTATTTACCGGGTAAATAATAACCGTGTTTGTTTGTTGTTGTTGTTGTTGTTCATCCGGGCTTTTTGAAAATCAAAAAACATGTTGACTGTGTGTCTGTGTGTCTGCGTGTTAATAATAATAATAATACGGGCTCAAATGTTTCACACGTACGTAAATACGTACGTTGGTCATCATTAACACTTTTGTTTCCAATAATAATCTTTAGCTCTTTTTGCTCTTCAAAAGAGAGAGAAAAAAAATTGATGATGGTGATGATTATTGAGGGGAAAGAAAAAAAATTACAAAATAACAACAATTCTACCAACAACAACAACAACAAAAAAGGATAATCATAAGGATAACAAATGGTTAATATTCTTTTTTTTTTAAAAAAAAACTTCCGGAATTTTTGTAATGTTCAAAAGCAAAATTCATATTTTTATTCAATTCAGTTCAACGAAAAAAAAAATCAATAGAAATTCTCCACTCTATCTTCAATCTTTTTTTTTCCATTTTTCAAATCAATCAATAATCAATTTCGCTTTTCAAATTTTCATTTTTCTTATTTCGATTACATTCAATAATCATCATCATCATCGAATGAATGAATGAATGACACATTCCAATATGTACAAGACATCCGATTCAATCAAATCAAAGATGATCATCTCATCATCATTTCTCTTCAATTTTGCTTTTTGTTTTGTTTTCCATTTTCGATTTGAATTGAATTCAAATGAAAAAAAAAAACAAAACGATGACAAAATTATCATTTGCACTGACCATTATCATCATTTGGAAAAAACAAAAAACAGACGAAACGGAACAACAACAAAAAAAATCAATCGGCAATATTATCATCATTATTGAGAAATCAATCAGCCATAAAAAAAATGACCATAATGGATGTGATTTGAATTTTGAATTTTTGAATGCAAAATTCTTATTAGATTTTTCTGTTCTGTTTGACTATTTTGACTACAATGATGACTTTGAATTGATTATTATTATTATTAAGTGTAAATAGTAAAATATCATCACATTATCATCATCATTGTTGTTGTTGTTAACACCACTCCACCCTTTCCGGATTGTTTTTTGTTTCAGGAAATTTTCCGTTTTGCAAAACAAAAAAATTAAATTGAATTTTTTGTTTTGTTGATGCAGCAAGCGAAAATCAAAAAAAAAAAAAACATTTCAATAGAAATCAAAAATCGAAAAAAAATTGAAAATCGAAAACAAAAAAAGTGAAAAAGTGGAAATAGCGAATTGATCGATATTCGATCAATCACAGAAAAGCAAATAGCAAAAACAATCGAAAATCATTTCGTTGAAAGCAAAAAATGAAAGTCAAGAAATCACAACATTTTAATGAAAAATTCTGAATTTTTTTTTTTTTTTTTTTTTTTTTTTTTTTTTTTTTTAAAATTTTTTGGGTTTTTTTTTTTTTTTTTTTTTTTTTTTTTTTTAATTAAAAAATTTTTGNAAAAAGTGGAGAAGCGAATTGATCGATATTCGATCAATCACAGAAAAGCAAATAGCAAAAACAATCGAAAATCATTTCGTTGAAAGCAAAAAATGAAAGTCAAGAAAACACAACATTTTAATGAAAAATTCTGAAATTTTTTTTTTTTTTTTTTTTTGATTATTATTATTAAACATTTATGGATAGTTTATTTTGTTAACTTTTTTTTTCGTTTCTTAATTAATGATTATGATTATCCGGAATAGGTGTACTACAAATAACATTATCAATATGCCATTTAGGTGTTGGTGGCAGACGTGTTAATAAATTTGTTTTAATTGTACGACGACGATTCTGTAAACGTTGTCCATTACCACCACCATAATGATGAAAAAGAATGAATTTTTTTGTTTTTCGTTTTGTTTTCGGTGTTTGTTGTTGATCCATTTGTTGTTGTTGTTGTTGTTGTTGTTGTTTAACAATATTGTTGTTGTTGTTGTTATTATTATTGATACTATTTCTACGTTTATTGATTGAACAATATTTTCTTGTATAACTATTACGACGATATAATGATGGTCGATATGATGATGATGATGGTTGACGACGATTAATTTGAAAACATTCAAAATCTTCTTCTTCATCATTAAATTCATTTTCAATATTTATCAATGGTTTTTGTTGTTGTTGTTGTTTTTCTGGTTGTTGTTGTTGTTCTTCTGGCTGTTGTTGTTGTTGTTTTAAACAATTTTCTTTATTTGAATCATCAATTGGATTCGATGTTTTTCTAGATTTTCGTATCGATTTTTTTGATTTGATTGATAATCGACTAGGTATTTTTTCCATCGGTGGTGAAGATGAAGAAGGTGAAGAATCCGGATCGCTTTGAACATCATCTAATTGATTATTTGAAATTTTTGTTGTTTGATTATTCGATTCATTAACATGATTATCTTCGATCAATGTTACTGAAATTTTTGAAAAAAACAATCAATCAATCAATCAATCAATCAAAAAAACATTAAACATTCAAACCTGATTGATTAACATCATCATCATCATCAACAATATAACCCATAATACGTATTTCATCATCGGTAATTTTACCCCAAAATACAAAACTATCATTAAAATTATCAGTCATTATAATTGTTTCATCTTCATTTCCATTGCCATTATCATCGACATCGCCATTATCATTAACATTATTATTATGATTATCATTATCGTTAATAATAACATTTTCATCCAATTCAATTACCGATTGATTATCGTTAATGTTTGATTCATTTAAACTAGCCATAATTTGTTAATTTGTTGATTTTTGATTTTTTTTTCGTCAAGATGCACACAAAAAGAGAAAAAAAGCGAGCAAAATGAAACGAAATCAGTTTTCAAGAGATGCTATAGCAAACGCAACAACCATCAGATCTTGACAGATCAAAAGAAAAATTTAACCCTTAATCAAATAATTTTCAACTTTTTTTTAAAAAAATTGAAATTCCCAAAAAAAAACTTCTTTCTTTTGTTTTTGAAGATTAAGAAAATGAAAATGAAAAATGAAAACAAAAAATGTTCAATGAAAATGAAATTTCCATAATTAAATTAATTAATTAGAAACAGTTCAATCAATCAATCAATCAAATATCTTTAATCAGAATGTCAAACATTTTATCACGAAATCGATAATCCCAATAATCAAAGAGAAATATATTCATTTTGTTGTTGTTGTTGTTGTTTTTGGTTTTTGATGGACGTGATTATTAACTGATTGGATTAATTTTAGAAATTCTGTTGCATCATTTTTTTCTGTTTTTAATTTGATTAATATCGATTTCTTTCTTTTTTTGGTTATTTCAATCGATAAACCCTTTTTTGATTGAATATATAAAGCGAATGTTAAATGATAAACTGTTATTATTATTATTTTTGTTTTTTTGATCACCAACTAACGACAACAAAAATGTCTCAACTTTTGAAATTATCAATATTTTCCTGTATGCTGTTGGTGGTAGCCGCCAATACAAATACAAAAAGACAATTACCATTATCACTTCCACAAATAACAACAGTACCATTACCATTACCAATACAATTACCGATTCCAACACCAGAAATTATACCGGTACCAACACAATTACGTTTACCAATACCATCACCTGTACCAACACCTGTACAAGTACCACTTAAAATTCCATTATCTATACCACAATTTGTTCCAACACCAGTACCATTAAGAATTCGATTACCGATACCAGTTCCAGTACCAATACCAGTACCAGTACCTGTACCAGTTCAATCACCAGTACCAGTTCCAGTTGGTGGTGCTACTGTTGCTGCTGCTGCTTCTCCATTAGGATTAGGTGGATTAGGTTTATTACGTAAAACCAATGAACATTCAAAAGTTTCATCATTGAAACATTAAGAAAAAAAATGTGATTTTTAAAAAATCACGCTCCAGGCTTGAGGCATCTGAAACATGGCCAGAAAATCAATCAATCAACCAAGTAATGTTTTAACCCAGAATTTTCAATTTTGAAAAACAAAAAATTTATTATTATCATTCAACAAACAAACAAACAAACAGAAAAACAACAAACTTTTCTTTTAAAAAAAACAGGCTTCTTCTCACTCTTATTTTTTTCACTTTCAAAAACGAAAACAAATTCTCTTTTTTTTTTGTCAAAAAATAAAATAAAATTTTGTTTCAAAAAAAAGTAAACCAAAAATTATCGATTTGATTATGGCAACAAAAAACTTGTAACTAAACGAAACGAAAAGTGTCTCAATCAATCCTGAAAACAAAAATGGATAATAACCATTTTTCCATTTTTGTTTGTTTGTTTGTTTGTTTGTTTACAAAATAACCATTCATATTTGTCGTCGTAGTCGTTGATGATGATCAATATTTATAGTGAAAATTTGTTTTCCCCTCATTTTTCCCCCCATTAAAAAAAATGTATTTTATGAACAGGACCTTTATCTTTACCATTACCGTGTACCATTCATAAAATACGAATAGGAAAACACACACACACACACACACAGAAAAAGATGTCCATATCCAATTGATGATCATTATCATTATCATCATCATCATCATCAAGTTCGGTTCATTGTCATTATCATCATCATCATCATCGTTGTTGTTGTTGTTATTTATTTTGTTCCATCACCATTATTTATTTTGATTATTATTGTAAAAAAATCATAATTTTAATGACCTCAAAAATAAAAAAAAAACATGGTTATAACAATAATGATTATAATGATGGAACCATAAATGATCAACAACGAAAACGAAAACGAAAAAAAATTGAAAATTGGATTGATTTGAAATCGGTCAAAATATAATAATCAATATGATGATGCTATGCGGTTGCTTTTATCCTGATGGGGAGGGGAGAAGGTGGTGGTGGTGGTGGTGGCGGTGGCTTAGAGATACAAACAAACAAACAAACAGGAGAGATGGATTTTTGAATGAATCTTTTCTTTTCTTTTTTGTCAAAAAGTGTTTTTTGAACCTTGAAACTTTGTTGTTGTTGTTGTTTTTTTTCTGTTGTACAAAAAAACAAAAAATTCTATATGGATGTGTTTATAATTTGATTTTTCATTTTCATTTTCAATTCAGAAAAAAAAGTGAATCTTTTCTGATTGATTTGACGATGATGGTGGACAGATAATTTGATTGATTGATTGATTGAATCAATATTGAATTGTGTCACCGAATGATTATCGTAATCATTATGGATAATTTCAATTTTTCGTTTTTTCGTTTGTTATTGTCCATCTTGTTTTATTCTCACTAAAAGATGACGATTATTGATATTATTGGGAAATTTATTTGTGATGCTGAAATATTGTCTGGCAATCGATGGCCAGACAGCAAAAAAACTTTCCAGGATTAATTTTTTTTTCCATGAAAAATTTCAGAAACAAAATTGCAAAAAAAAGAATCATATTTCAATGTTTCAAAAGCAAAACATTTTTGGTCATCAAATGAATGTAAAAACAGGTGTAATTATGATACAATTACAGTGTGACATAAACATGATCATTCTAAGGTGATTAATTAACTAATTAATTAATTAGTGGAGGAAAAAAGCTTTTATTAGCCAGATAAAACAATACAAAAAAATTGGATCCTTTGATTATCCATTTTTGAAACGTAAAACAAAACGAAAAGAAAAGATTGCGCAAACACGAATTTAAAAAAAATGACATGCCAAACAAACAAACAAACGTTAAATACAGAAACAAACCACGATGATGATGATGATGATATAATTGGCAATGTCCAATTGTGTTTGCTGCTGCTGCTGTAACCATAAATCTTATTTGATTTCGTAGAGGAAAAAAATGGTTACGCAAAGAAAAAAAAATAAAAAAGCTAAATCTGTTTGTTTTGTAAATACCGTTTATGTCACACAAGACACATCCAAATAACGATCAAATTTCTTTTCGCAATTTTTTTTCTGGACAGTTTTTTTTGTTGTTGTTGTTCTGTTTCTTTTCGATGGACAGAAAGTGGTTTATATTTTCTTCACATCTTTGAATGTCTTGTATTGGATTTTGATTTGAAATCGAAAAAATCAAAAATCCTTTTTCGATTGTGTCATCATCATCGATTGCTTTTGGTTCGAAACAAACAAACAAACAAAAATCGATTAGAAGGATGTTAAATAATCGTTCTGCAGAAACGAAAAAATCTTTTCGATTTTTTTTAACACAAAGAATTATGCAATTTTCAATTCGATTCGCGATTTTTTTTGTTGATCGATTAAATCAGAAAAAAGTTTTTTCTCGTTTTTGAAAATTCTGTTTTATTTGACTTTATTCATTCAACTGACTTGACATAGAATTTGTAAAATTTTAAAGTTTTTTTAAAGTTTTTTAAAAATTACATTATAATTATAATTAGGTTTTCATTGATAAATTATTGTTATTGTTGTTGTTATTATTTTTATTATTACTACTAGATGTTGATGTTGATGTTGTTGAACGTTGTTTTGGTGATGTTGATTGAAATACTGATGATGCTGAAACAAGATTTTCAATATATTGTCCTAATACTTGATTTTCGGATTTTAATTTAAGATTTTCTTCTTTAACACTTTCAGCACGTAATGATAAATCTAAGGGAAAAGAAAAAATGGAAATTATAAAAAATGGAAATTATAAAATCAAATTTATAAAATACAAACCATCAAGTGTATTTTGTAATTCTAAAACCTGTTGTATCATACGTTCTTTTTCTTCCATTTCATCCGGATTCAATTCATGATTTATATCTAATGCTAATTAAAATTAATTACAAAAAAATATTAGATTTTCTTTTTTACAAAAAAATATAAAATATTTTTTTAAAATTACAATTTGGTTGTGGTTGATGATTAATACGTATAGTACCACTTGGTGATTCTGGCCTTGCTAAATTTGTTACATCAGAATTTCTTCGTCTTTGGTGTTGTTGTTGCAATTGTTGAATTTTTTCCAATTTTTCTTTACCAGTTATATTTGATAAATTTAATTTTATCATATCCGAATCGGTAACTTCTTCAGTATCATCATCATCGGCTAATGGAATTTCATCACCAATATTATTTTTGTTTGACATTTTTAGTTCGTTTCGTTTTCGTTCGTTTGTTGTTTTTTCAGCAATTAACCAAATACTGATTTCAATTTAACCATGGATATTTTGAATCAAAAATTTTGTTTTTGTTTTTGATTTTTTTCAATGACAAAACTGGCCTTGGCCACGACAACAAATACAAAATACAAAATACAAAAACAAACTCGGCCACTACCACCACCACCACCACTATACCACAAAAGAAGCAAGACACGAATTCGCATGGATTCACATTCATTCATTTTGATCCGCTATCATTAGATGGCAGTAAATGTCATTGATGATTAGGAAAAAATCAAAATCTATAGATCCAATTTCAAATTGAAAATCCAAATTTTTTTTTTTTAAAAAACAAACATTTCATTATTTTAGCTAAGCAATCAACATCACCTAGATGATGTGCACCATATTTTTTTCCGTTTTACCTGATCAAATTGATTTGATCTGAATGATTTGATAAAATGGGCAAAGAGAGACATTCCATGTTTGGTTGACATTTTTTTTCTGATTTTGTTTTTGTTTTTGTTTTTTTTGACAATTTTATGATTAAATCATGTAGAAAATCATCATCATCATCAGTAATTGTGATTGAAAAGCATCGATTCGTAACTAACTAACTAACGAAAACAACAACAGCAAAAATTTTAAATTTTTTAAATAATACTATTTCGACATCAACAACAGCAACAAAAAAATCCAGGAAGAAGAGATTAGGGTCGATATAAGATTATCTGATTTTCGTACCTGTCCGTATGATGATGAATTTTTGAAAAAATTTAAAAAAAAAATTCCCCCCCCCCTGTTTATCATTATCACAACGAATTTATCTAGGACTAAAAATTTTTTGAAAATGTCAATGTCAACAACGAACAAACGAACAAACAAACAAAAAATTGTCAAATCAATTTCCTTGATGTCGTCTAGTTAATCAAGATTTGAAATCCAAGAAATTTTTGTTTCCACTCCACACTTGTCGAAATATGTTTATCAGAAAAAAAAACATTTTCCGTTGCTGTTACCTGGGAAATTGATGTTGTTGATGGTTGGTCATTATCGATTTTTTTTTTCGTTTGAAATTCACATTCATCATCATGATGAAATGTTCATACAAAAAAAAAACAGACGACAATCAAACAATTTGTTCGCCCATCAATCAATCAATCAATCAAATTTAAAATCGATCCGAATCCATCACAACATATATTTTAAATAGCCATATTGAACAACAACAACAACAACAAAAAACCCTTTTTCCCCCATTTCTCCTCCTACTTCACTTCTCCCTCCCTCCTTTGTATTCGGATGTAATCGTCATCATTTATAAAAATCCACTTCTCTCTCTCTCTCTCTCTCTCTCTGCTTGATTGCTCTCACATTTTGCAAACATTTTTTCTCATTTATTCATTTTGAATTTCAAACATCTCTCTCTCTCTATCCCTCGACCAGTATTTAACTCTTTTGTTTGATTTAAAAAAAAATTCTCTTTTTTTTCATTCGAAAATCCAGTATATTTTAATTTTTGTTTTCACAAATCTTTTTTTTCCCCTATGTAAATTTTTCTACTTCTTATTCTTCTTCTTCTTCTTTAAAATATCATTGATATCATCATCATTTAGTAATTAAAGAGTTATGGTAGTTGTTGATGTTGGCTAAACATTAACATGGTTCGATGCTCATTCATTTTGAAGTAAAAAAACAAACAAACAATCGTTGACAACAAGCCAAACCAAACCAAACCAAGCGCAAACATCCTTTTCATCAATCAATCAACCGATAGATCGATCGATCGATCGATCAATCAATCAGATTTTCATAGAAACAACAAATCAAAATCCAATCGATTTTATTCGATTCGATCATGCGCCATCAATCGAATCAATCAATCAATTTTTATTATCATCATTATTTCAACAACAAAAACAAAAATCCACGATTCTTTCCAGTTGTTTGTTAAATAAATAACCCTAATCAATAAACATTATTGTTGTTTGTGTATCCTCATCATTAGAATCTTTCTTAACCCCGGTAAAAAAAGGTAGGATTTTCTTTGAAAAAATTCATAATCCTTTTTCCAGTGTTTGAATGTCAAATTGAAAGATGATAATCATGTTTTTTTAACCCAAAAATATTTTGTTTGTTTGTCTGTTTGATTTGTCTATATTGGAAATGTATGTCAAATTTTTCGGGCCTGTCTGTTTCCTTATGTGTTTGTGTCTGTTTGTTTTGCGGCATCTTTTATATTACCAATCTCTCTCTCTCTTTATTTCTCTCGCATCTCGTACAGAAAAAAATCCTTTTTGCATACAAAGTGTTAAATCGACAAAAAAATTTTTTCATCAATTCAATTCATTTGGGTTTTTCCTTATTCCTCATCATTTTTTCATTTCATTTCACTATTTCAATCTTTTCATCTCAATTCGACAAAAAAAACAACGAATGACAAATTAAGATTAACTTTTACTGATTGATTAATTGATTGATTAGAATCTATAGCCGGAAATGTGAAAAGGGGAGGCGGCTATTTCCACCCACTCTCTCTCTGCACTTCCATTTTCAATGTCACCAAAAAAAAACATTTCCCAGTAATGTTTTTTATGTTGTTTTGTCCATCCATCCATCCATCAAACACAAACAACAGAATTTTACATCTTTCAAACTGGTCGGTCAGATAAGATCCAACAACAACAACAAATAAATATATTTACTACTTAATTATAGTGACATTAGTAGTTATTAGTAGTTAATAGTAGTAGTAGTTGGTCACTACACAAAACAAAAAAAAACAAACAAAATCAAGTTAGTTAATTTTATTATTATTTTACGACGAATGTAGACAAATGTCTTCCATGTCCATGTCCTTAAGTTGTTGTTGTTGTTTGTTTTTGTCGACTTCTTCAATCTAAACAAACCAAAAAACAAACCAAAAAAAAAAAACAAAACGAAATTCATCTTCATAATAATAATTCAACTTTTTTCACTGTAAATAATAAAATTATTATTCAAAAAAAAAACAAAAACAAAAAAAAACAAAACAATGAAGAAACAGCGAAACAGAATGCAAAATTCCATAAAAAACATAATTCAATTTGTACAAAATTTTATCGTTTTTTTCTTTCTTTCGACTAGATTCTTTTTGGTTTTCAAGATTTGCTGTTGTTTTCGTATGGGTGATATACGATGACAGTTTTTATTTTTTTTATTTCTGGTGGGGGGAAGTAAGGGGACAAACAAACTAAAATGTTGTTTCTTCTTCTTGTTCTTGGTGTATAAATAATTCATTCATTCGTTTTTTTTGCTTTGCTTTGTTTCAATTGATTTAATATTCAAGTGTTGTGAATTTTTCTTTTGTTCAATTCAATTTAATAATCAATATTGATTAAGTTGATAGTGACGGTGATGGTTATTTTAAAACAAAAAGTTTTTCTACTCACTCTCCCCACCTCTTCTTCTTCTTCCCCCCTCCGTTTTATAAACGATTCATTCATCCGTATGAATTGTGGTGGTGGTGGTGGTTAGTGTATGATTATTATCAACGAATATGCCCGAAGCTAATTTGAATTCCGGATATTTTTTTTTCCCGGGAAATTTTCTTTGTTTTTACAAGTTTTATTTGTTTGGTTGGTTCTAACTGAATTTAGCCAATCAACTGAATCGAAAATGAAACCAGAAACAAAACACAGCAAAACAAAGCATATGGTATTTTTCAGGAAAAGTTTTTTTGGTAATTCTTTTCTTTTCTTTTTTGTTTTTCAATTATTCATTAATTTTAATTAATGAATAATTAAAAAAAATTTCCAGAAAGTTTCTGATCAATCAATCAATCAAAAAAATCAATTTTTTTCGGGAAAATTTTCCAATGAAAATAATGATGATTGATCAAGGGGAAAAAAATGATGAAATTTTAGTTTTCTTCGTTGGTCGGTCGGTTGGTTGGTTGGTTGGTTGGTTAGTTACCTGTTTTAACCAAAAATAATAAACTAATTGCACAATACAGGTGTTGTGATGAAATGAATTTTTTTTTCTGTTTTGTTTGTTTTTCTTGTTTTTCCAATTAAAACAAAAAATTCATTTCATTTTTTTTGTTTTGTTTTTAATTTATTGATTGTACGATGCAATTATCTCTCATTGCATGCAAATGGTAAAAACGAAACGAAACGAAAGAGTTTCTATAATAATCAATAGATCATTTCTGTCAAATATATTTCTCTCTCTCAAATTACAAAATCAAATGGTAGTGTTGTGTTCAAATTTTGACATTTTAAAAAACAAACAGTTTTTTTGTACACAATAACGGTGTTTGTTTGAAAAAAATCAAAGTTTTAGAACATAGAAATGGAAGGTAAAATTATGATAATATTTTCCTACCATCATCGATAGATGGCGTGGATATGAGTTTACAAAATTTTTATTTTCCATGTTTGTGGGAAATTGTTGTTTTTTTTAATATTTTGATTAACACTTTTTTCTCTACCTGTTTTTTAGATTTAAAAAAAACAAACAAGATTCTCAAAAGAATTTTTCTTTCAAATTTTCATTGTGATTAATAATAATAATGGAATCATTATTGCCTGTGATTGAAACAATGATTGAAACAATCAAACAACCTGATACATCAACCACATCATCAACATCGATACAATCGATTAATAAAGATGAAAAAAATGATGATGATGATGATGATGATCCGAATGAATCATCATTCAATAAATCAAATGATGATGATCAACAGGATGAAAATAGCCAAAATAAAAATGATGAAATATCAATCGACAATAATCAACAACAAACAATTATTGATCAAACTAATGTTTCCTGTCAAACATCAACGACTATTTCAACAACAACAACAACCGAACAACAATATTTATATACAAATCAATCAAATAATAATAATACAAATCAATCAATTTGTAATACAATTATAACACAAACATTATTTAATCCATTAATAACGATTGGTCGTAAAGCAAAAGAAAAATTATTTTATCGTTTATTTCCATCATCATCATCATCATCGATCAATGATGATAATAATAATAATAATAAAATTATTGAAAATAATCAATTAATAATGTTACAACGATTAACCCTTAGTAACAATAATGGTAATGATGATGATCAACAAAATTATTTTAAAACAAAATTATTTAAAAATCGTTTGTTGATGAAAAATAATAATAATAATAATAATAATAATAATCAATCAAAAACATTGAAATTAGATTCACCAATACCAAGTGCAAGATCACCAAATTTTTTACCATTTTCATCGGAACAACAACAACAACAACAATCGACTATTTCGACAATGTCGATAACTACAATGATTAATGATAATAAAACATTGATAATCAGTAATGATGATGATGATAGTGAAAAAAGTGATAAAAAAATTAATTCATTATCATCATCATCAATCGGATCATCACTTGGGTCATCTTCTTCTTCATCAACCGAATCAACAGAATCATCAACAACATCAACGATAACATCGATACAATCGATTGTGATTGAAAAAGAATTGTCAAACGAATCGGATAATATTGATATTTGCGATTCTAAACAACAACAACAGCAATCATCATCAACATCATTTCCATATAATAATAGTAATTCTGCATTATCAATGGTTATTGATTTAACCCTTAATGATGATCCAATAACATTTCAATCATCATTAGTTCCAACAACAACAACAACAACAACGGACAATAAATCCATTCAAAATGACCATCTGGAACCAAATGATAATGATAATTCATATCAACAACAACATCTAGATCGATTAAATCTATTAATCTCATCATCATCAACATCATCGATAAAAATAGCAGCATATTTTTGTTCAACAATTTATAAACAACAACAACAACAACAAATATCTTTTATCAATGAAATTGATTCCATACCGAATTTTCAACGTATATTTTATATCAAGTAGGTGAACATTTCTGTTTCTGTTTCTATTTTTATCATATTGTAGAAATAGCCCCGTTGTGAAAAAACAAAAACAAAAAAAGCTGTTCATTATTTTCTTTTTTCTATTATAATTAATTATTTATTAACCCTTTTGTATTCAATACGAAGGGAAAAAAGAAAAGAGTTGAACATTGATTTACTTGAACCAAAAAAAAAACGAAAAAAAAAATCATTAGATAAATAGTTTTTTTTTGTTTCTGGTTTCTGAAAACTGAAATTTGAACCGAATGTGTGTTTTGTGATTTTGACAAATTGTCGAACCAAACAACCACACTGACACACCTCCACTCTTTTTGTTGTTGTTGTTGAAACCAATGGTGGTATATTTTACCGACCTGAAGATTACCGGAGATTTTGATTATAAATGGATTTTCTTCATTGCTTGGCCTAATTTTGGAGGCCAGAAATATCAGATTTTTTTTTTGTCAAAGGAAAACAACAACAACAACAATTTTAATGTCTAGTCAAATTTTTTGCAGACGATCATCAAAATGTTTATCATTGTTATCATCATCATCAAAGAATTTTGTTTTGCGCATCGACTCAAATCGAATGTTTTCACTTTTGTTGGTTCCATACTGCGACGTTGTTGTTGATGACGGAGAAGAAAACAAGAAAATGTGATGTGTTTTTGCTGGAATCCTAGAATGAAAGAATCTTCAGAATCAAAGTTGAATTTGATCAGTGAACAACGGTGCTTTTTTCTTTGGTTTTTCTCGTTGTTTTGTTTTTTGGAAAAATTCAAATTCTTGTTGTTGAAAGAATTTTTTTTTTTTTTTTGGTTCAAAAAAAAAAAAATCTTCAAAATTTTTCCAGAATTGTCAGCAAAAAAAAAAAAGAAGAAATCCTTCC